TTTTGATACCGTCGTCCGGGTTGTAGAAGGGCTAGGTCTCTCTTCAGTTCTTGCTTTCTTGGGTGGTGTGGAATAGGTTGTTGCAGTCTCTGGACCTTCCACTTTCTTTAGACTTGAGTCCTGCAAGAAACTTTTAAGGATTTCAAAATCATTTGGATTATAATATTTTTTCACCTGGTCGGGACTTGCTTTACAGATTTCCCTCTTCTCGTTCTTAAGGTACAATACTACTCCCTTGATTTCCTGAATTACATAGGGGCCTTCAAATTTGGAGCTAACTTTGCAGTAAAATTGTCTGGGGCACTTGATAAAGAAAATTTCCGCTTTCAACACTTTATCCCCAACTTTAAAATCTGCTTCACGGCGTTTCTATCATAATATAACTTCTTGTCTATTTCTTGCCGTATCCGAGGTTTTAAGCACGTCAACTTTTTGTTTTTTTAAACTTCTCTTGCTCTCTTTGTTGCACAAAGAATAATTTATCTAAAGGGCGTAATTAACTTCCGTCCTAAAAATAATTCTGCTGGAGTTTTTCCCCGTAGTATCGTGAGTTGCTGTTCTTAAAGCATAAGCTAATTCATTTATGTAGCCATCCCAGCGCTTGTGATGTGTGCTAACATAACTTCGAATTATTTTTACAATATTTTTATTAACTCTTTCTGCTATGTTTGCCTGTGGTCTATGCGGAACCATTTTGATATGGCGTATGCCAAGTCCAGTGCAAATGTTTTCAAATATTTGGATAATGAATTGTTTACCGTTATCGCTAATGACTTTTATCGGTGCACCGTATTTTAAAATGTATCTGTGTAAGAATGCATCTGCGACTGTTTTGGCTGACGCGCGTTTAAGTGGAACAATTTCTGTCCATTTTGAAAAATGATCTACTATTACTAAAAGAAAACGATTTTATTTAACTCGCTCTGGGGGAAGGACCAAGAAGATCTATGCCTAAAATTTCATTCGGAAATGTAGCGCGAATGCTATTTAAGTACCCGGCCGGGCTGTAATTAATATCATTTATTAACTGACATTGATTGCAGGACCTGACATACGCAGTTACTATTTTGTATAATTGCGGGAAATATACCGCCTCGCGTACCCTTTTTAAAGTCTTTCTGACCCCTAAATGGACCCGCTGTTTTTTCGTCGTGTAATTCCTTCAAAATGCTTAATCGAAGCGAGGCTGGGATGACTGGTCTTATACTCAAGATTTTCGTTTGTTGTTTTCGTATAAATAATAAATTATCTATTATTTCATAGTTTTCTGCTCTATTTCTTATCGCATCGATATCTGTGTGCTCAAAGCTTTCGGGGTCTTTCAAATAAGCATAGATATTTTCCAAATTCAGGATCAGCTTTCAGTTCAGCAATAACCGTATCTCTAGAATCTAAAATTTTTGAAGTCAACACAGCGCATTTAAGTTCATTGCCTTCATCGTCCAGTTTTATACGAGAAAGTGCGTCAGCTACATTGTTTTCCTTACCCGGTTTATATTTATTGAGATTATTATATTCTTGGAGTTTTAAAGCCCATCTTATTAACCTGGGCGTTAGGTTTTTTCCCGAGTAAAGTCTACCAACAGCCGCATGATCCGAAAAGACTGTTACTGGCGCTTTGCCGAAATAAACTCGAAATTTGTGTACAGCCATTAATACGGCTAATGTTTCTCTCTCTGTAGCTGTATAATTCCTTTGTGTCTGATTCAACGTTTTACTAAAAAATGCCAAAGGATGGCCATTTTGCATAAGAACCGCCCCCCGCATAGTCCGACGCATCTGCTGCAATTTCCAGGTTTTCGTCCCCCTCCGGGAATTTTAAAACAGGGGCATTGATGAAGCGCTTCTTTTAATCTTTCAAATGCGTATTTGCTTCTGCTGTCCACGTAAATTTACTTTTTTCTTTTTTTAATTACTAACAGTGGTTCAACAATATTAGCGAAAAATCTTTTATGAAAGACCGATAGTAAGAACATAACCCAAGGAAAGACGAAAAGTTTCTTGGCGGTGTTGGGCGGTGGGAAATTCTTGAATAGCTTTTATTTTTGAATCTTGCGTTTCTATACCCTTTTGCGAAATTTTATAACCGAGATATTTAAGTTCTTTAGTTGCGAACTTGCATTTTGAGGCGTTAATTGTAAGACCGGCCTCTTTTAATAATTTAAAAACTTCTTCGAGGTCTTTAATGTGTTGTTCCAACGTACTACTCGTTATAATTATATCATCTAGATAGATTAAAGTCGATTTTCCTAGGACAGGCTTTAGAACAATGTCCATAGCTCTCTGGAAAGTTGATGGGGCCCCACACAACCCAAAGGGCATGCGTAAAAAATGCATAAGTGCCCGATTTTGTTATAAAACGCGGTTTTATGTATGTCTTCGGGTCTCATAGCTATTTGATAGTAGCCAGACGTTAAGTCCAAAGTAGACATGTATCTTGTAGATTTGAATCTTTCTAATAATTTCCTCTATAACCGGCAAAGGGTAAACTGGAAAATTTAGTATACTATTAGTTTTCTGTAATCGATAGCAAACCTCCAAGCCCTTTTATCCGAAGGAGGAGGAAACTCGTTCTTTTTCCTACATAGTACGACTGGACTCGCGTACTCACTATTTATGGGCGTTATTATTTTATTCTTTAACATCTCCTGAATATGTTCTTCGATGATTAAGTCTTTTTGTTTATCATAGCGATACGGTTTAGTCCTACAAGGTTTTTCGGCAGTTAATTGTATCTTGTGCGTCAACTATTGACAATTACCAGGCCGTTTTTCTGAAAACAAGTTTGAAAAATTACTCACCACTTGCTGGATGGCTTGGCTTTCATGGTCATTCAAATGGCTAAGGTCGAATTGCGGTGTCTCCACCGGTTCCACCCACCCTCTGGTCCATCTCCAGCACCACGGAACTATCTTGAAAATTTAGTTTGGCCCTTCGCGGCTTTAAAAACTCCATACCTAAAATAAGAGAGTGTTGCAGGTTCTTTCACTACAAAAATTAATACTTTGAGGCTTTTCCTCTTTTATCCTGTAATTTAATGATACTTTCCCGATGCAGTGACATGTTTTTCCTTGCGCCGCTATAATTTCCGTATTTCTGGTTTTAAATAGTCGTAAATCCTAAAAAAATTCTTTTGAAGAACTTTCACTCATGAAAATTTCCTTCTGCTCCTGTATCGATGAGGGCTTCTACTGGGTACATCGCCAACCAGGACTTGTATAATTGGTAGCTGTGAGTTTTTACGATGACTGTATTTAAATGTCTATTTGAGGGTTTTTTAAAACTTCCGGGGTCTGGACCCTCCCTTTTCACAGGCCCCTCTAGTCGTTTAAAGCTTTCCTTTCAATCTGTGTCTTCTGGGTACGCGGATGCTTATTTTCAAATTTTCTTTTTGGGCCTTGACCTTCGAGTTTCGATGAGTTAGCTTGATAGCTCTTTTCCCCCATAAGAGCGATTTGCCATTTCTGGTTTCCTCCTTGAAGATTGCCTTCTGGATACTTTGAGAATACGTTTTCCCCCTCTCGCTTTTTCCGCTATTCTGCGATTTTGAAATTTCACCGCCAATTCGAAAAGTTCCTGCAATGTGCTTGGGTTTTAATTTCAAAGTAGTCTTGAACAGCGGGTAACAATCTTGGTAAGATTATTTCAATTAATCTCCGCATCGGGTTTTTTCCCATACAGCATATCCGTTAGTTTTGATTTTTTCGTAAAATAAAGTCCGTCAATTGTGCTGTATCCCGTTGATAGAAAAACTATATAGCTCGGCTTCAGCCTTGCTGCGCGATCTTTCACTATGGGGAAGGCCTTTACTAACGATTTTTTGAAATTTTCAAATGTATACGTCGGGCTTCCAAATTCCCCTAGAAAGAAATTGCCTATATTTTCCACCATAGCGCGGCCTGTCCTCTTAGTGCTGATGTGGCGATGGCAACTTTTTGTCTTTCAGGCACAGGGTAGAGCTGAAAGTGGTTTTCTATACCTTCTAAAAATACGGACACCGAATTTTTTCCGTCGAAATTGACGTTTGGTTGATTGACGCTCTCAACGTCTGGACCAGGTATCCAAATCCTTCAACTGCGTTGCATTTCTTGGTGTGTCCAGCGGCTTCCATCCAGTTTTCGGCCATTTCAGTTCGATAAGTGTTCGGGCGCCAATATAACGTTGCGCGCCTCTAACTAGCACGCAACCTAGAGGTGACTGTGAAAGCTTGTATAAACCACAGAGTCTTATAAAGGGTTTAAGTCCCTTTTTATTCAACAACGTAATAAATTACAATGGCGTCCTCTTGACGCTCACAGACTGTGCCCACTAGGCAGTCAAATAAAATAATAACCTGAAAAAGAAAGTAAAGACAAGATTCTAACTACGAGGCTCTCTAAAAACTAACTCACCGCGTTTTACAATACGGCTGCTAATTCAGCAGACTTGAAGCTCACGGAACAATTTCCACTAATTCCCGCCAAGCACATAGGCCGCAACGCGGGTTCTTCAATTCTCGATAACTACCTCCGCGCTCGCTAAGTAAGAATAACTCCCTCCGAACTCGTTTCCTTCTATTTAAATCATACTACTTCCGCTGATAATTTGAATGCTTGCGCGTTCTACTCAAATTTACATATTCTGGCATTGGCAGTTCCAGGGGAAAGTAAGGCTTGACAGGAAAGATAGTTTAAACTTAAAATAAATGTTAGTTAAAATAAATATAAACCCTACAAATGGTATGTTTAAAAATGTCAAATGAAGTTTAGAAAATACAAATATGTGATACAGGGCTGTTAAAGAAAATTTTCTTCACAATAAATTATAAATATTAAAAATCTTATTAGCAGTTTCTTCGGCTTCAAAACTGTCGTGCTATTATAATAACCTATATTAAATGAAAGGGTTACGGCGCCGTAAATTTTGCCCAAATAAACTGAAATATAAATAAATGGCAAGAATTATAACAGCTGGACTCATATAATGCACAAGAGAAAAGATAAGCTAAATATTGCACTCACGTAAAACAGTAAGATGAGCTTTTGCAAACAATGGTGGTTGATCTTCAGCTGGTCCGACCTGCAAATTTCAAATTTCAAGCAAAAGTTAGTTTTTTGAAATGAACTATTATAACAACCAATATTTTTGCTTTCTTACGACTCCGAAAATTAAGATTTATGAAACCACCACAATATAAAGATGTCCTGAAACTTACGAAGTACAATATCTCAAAGTAGACACGAAATTCATCTTGGGGAATTATTGCGTTCAAAATATAATTTCTAAAATTTTTATTGTTAGTACTTACTATTCCTGTGTTTGTTTCTTATTCTTTAATTTCATTCAGTTTTTCATTATTTTATTTTCCTATAACGGCACTCATTATTTATTTCCTATAGCCCTTGGGAAGTGCAAGTGAAGCTTTAAACCCTAAGGGCGCAGAACTCAGATTAGGGACCGCTGCCCTACACAATTTCTAGAAACTTAGTAAAAATATAAGGTTTTCGAAACAATGAAAATAAGAAAAATGATTTTTTTTTTACAAATTAACTTAATATGACGCTGCAATTCTTCCATTTATTGTTAAAACGCTCGATTGTTCCACAATCTCTTCCTACATTTTGGTGTATCCACATAACTTGAATACCTGTTAAAGTTTAAGCTTCGATGTCATCAGAAGTTAGAAAAATGAAGTCTGCTCCCTGCCTCAAATGAACGTCACAAAACAATTCAATTCTATTACTTCTTATTAATCTGCTAATTCATGCCTCAAGTAAGAACCGTGGCCTTGAAAGAAGTCATAAAAAGCCGTGACCATCATCAAGACATTATAATTATCATCCACAATTTACTACATATCTGTTTGATAGTAGTTTTCATGAAAACATTTTGTACAGACTTATATGTATGAATGTACACGAAAGACTTATAAATTTCTTTGCATTAAAATAATAAAAATACGTAAAATGCTTATTATGGGATAGTAATTGCCAAGCGATATATCCAGAAAAGTTTCTGCACTTGATCAGTTTTTTTTTTTTTTTTTTTTTTCTATTTTTTTGAATCACCATTTAAATTTCAGATAATTTACAGTCAACTACCAATTAACAAAGGCAATATTGGTGACGACGCCCGCGGTTAATTCGAACCCACGGTTAATCTTACAACAGTGAGTAAACAGAAGAAAGAGAAATAATCCATATTATAATTAATAGAAAAATATTGTTAACTATTGAACCTACGTTTTCAAGTAGTTCAAGCTGAAGAATAAGTTCCTTTCGTTAAGTAAATTAAATTAGTATTCAAAGTTCTCTTTCTCGAGCTCAAGAATGCAGTGCCTCTGTCTGTCTTCTTTTCATACTGCGGCTTGCATATTTGAACCTGTTCGATTACGGCGAAGCATAATAAGGTTCTTATCCTAATTGGAAGGATGCTTTTGTAGAGCGGTTCTTAAGGAAAACTAGCTCATACTCACATTACTTACCTCGAAAAATATCTATGTTTTCTTCCTCAGTTTATGGGGCACATGTTCTTTGCATTTTTCTTGCGCATTAATAGAAGTCAATGTGAAATAGAAGACTAATGGGCTAATATTTTATTTATTTTTAACATTTAAGTCCTCAGCCATTTGAAGCAACAGTATTTTTAAGATTTTGGTATTCACTTACAATGAATAATTTAATAACATCTACATCAGACGTCGGCAACGTTTTTTGGCTGCGGGTCAAAAATCAGCCAAAATGTGTATATTAAGAAGTTTTAGATTAGTGGTATTTTCATTTTAGAACAGTCTTTCTGGGTGAATAATAAGATAAATTGTATTGAGAAATTGGTACATTTTAAGCATAAAAATTAAAATTGCAGTTCTGGTTATTATACAAACAAACATAATTGAATTTATTTTTCTTTTCGAATATTAATGGCTTCCCTGATACTGAGCTTCTGACGTCAATTTAGTCAAGTCTGGCTCTGGTGTTCCCATTGGCCCTTTACAATGCTATTCTTTGTAGGTGTTTTTCCTCATATGTGTATCCTTCCAACACCATGTATGGTTTTTCAATAGGCTGATTAATTTGCACGGAAAAAAGTAGGAATTTTCATTCGAAAATTTCGAAATGTTTTCATTGTGACACCAATCATAAGAGCTTTACTATTTTAAATCTTCATAATCATCATCTCAAGCGCATACATTCAAATAATAATATCTGAAATTTCATTTCAACTGGTTAAGCGGATAGGCTGCCAAGGGTTCGTATATCGGGAAAGTTTTTTTATGACCCCTCTCTACTACTTTTGCCAACAAGTAGGATCGCTTCTCTAGTTTAGCGGTTCTCAAACCTTTTTCTTTCGTGTACCTCTTAATTATTTCGCTTACCCGTTCATCGCCCCGGGGGTTGACGCAGAGAACTCTGCGAAGTACTGGGTAAGATTTGCACCTAGGTTGTCTCTGCCACGACGTCACATAATCAATAAGCTTGGCAGTTTTCCGTGAGTGGGGGGGGGGGGTAGAGGTAACTGCAGTGACCCCGTGCGCCCGGGAGGTAGCAGTTGGCTTGAGTGAATTTCTTTAAAAAGTCTGCTGTGTTGGTTTGAGGGCCGGGATTGTAGCAAGTGAATGTAGTAACCTTTCACCAGGGGACTACTCGACTGGATGTCCCACCTCCCACCTGATACGGAGGTCTTTAAGCTGGGGTTCAGTCCGTGTCATGCCATAACAAGTACTTGGCGGCACACGTATCAGACGACCACTTACCCGTTCATGACTCCTCCCCTCGAAGTTGATGCAGGAAAACCTGTGAAGCTACTGGCTACTATCTGCACCTAGGCAGTCTCGGCCACGGGGTTATAAAATACACAGAACCGGTTCCCGATGCCGGAAAGGGCAGTCAATACTATCTTGGAAGGTAGGTGGCTTCGGCCTTCCAAGTAGGCTGGTGTGTCGGCCATTCGACCCTACTCTCTTCGCTATGCGTGGTGCGTTGAGCCTAAGATGAGAAATAACTAATGGACGAGCCTTGTTGCACGTCCTTGAATGGATGCGATGCAAGTAACCTCAGACTAGTACCACTTCAATGAGACAGAATGTAATTTTAAAGTACCCTGAACTTCTTATTATCCGCTGACACTCCTTCAGTATTCGCAGTACTAACTTTCAGTACTCGCAGTACCTAACAATGCTTTTATTTTAATATCATAAAATTAATAAACAGCAATAAATAAAAACAGAAAAGTGCAAATTGCTCTTTTTCAAAGAATGTTAATTTTAAAGGAATTTTCATTCATAGGATCTGAAATCTGATTGTCCTTCTCAATTCGTTTGGGCAAGTAATGTTTAAACGACCTTTGGTAACTTTTAAGGTGTTTTGTTTTTACTCTCCATGACTTCGTCTTTAAGCTGAAACTAATTTTCTGACAAGCGCTTTGAATACTTGGGTTTCATTTCTTTCCCCAATGCATGCTTCCCAGAAATCTTAATTTCTGAGCATATTGAGCATAGAATCAGTTTTATGCGATATGTTGGGACAGAACAAGAACAGGAATGGCTAGGTATGAGCATACGGAATCGATTAATATGACAAATGGTGGATGGCACTATGGCACTAGCTTAAGCCCATTACATTGCTTTTAAACACATCGGAATTAGTCTCATTTGAAACGGATCATCCCCAAACTTGCTTGGCGGAGATGCCAAATCGGTACTATTTGCGACATGCCACCATATACGATACGTTGGGACAGAACAAGAACCAATGTCAAATTTAAATTTCCTAAATATTTTTATTTTTATCCCAGCATTTCTTATAACACGTTGTTATTTTCCTCCAATACTGATAACTTTTTCGAGTACCCCTGACTGATGAGAATCGAAAAGACAATAACTGCTACAGCAAAGACAGATATCCTTAAGATATCACAGCAGTGTTAATTCTGCCTTTAGAAAGAGTATAAACAACATTTACCGGGAAATATAAGTATACTGAAAAGTATGAATATGTTTTTCATTAGAAAATTATGAAATGTTTTTCTGTGGAAAATATTTTAAAACATCTGAAAATGAACAATTATTCCTCTTTTAGATTCAATTCATTTTAATGAATTAAAAATTGCCAGTATTAAAATTTTGGTACAATAGCATCCATTTCATTAAATGAGCAAACACCATCAGCGCTGAAGATTTTTGCTCAAAAATATCTGATTTCAGAGTTCTAGTGGAGGAAATACTTTTCGAAATATTGCAGCATTTGTTATTAATATATTACCACTGCCAATTCAAATGCAGAGGTAGAAGGGTTTCTTTCAGCAGCATGAATATAAATCAAATAAAAATTGGAAAAAAAATTGCAATTTCCTGTGCTTCAAGTTATAGTCTCTGTATAATATGAGGTAAAAGGGTAAAGCAAGTTTTGTAAAAACATTTCTTTATCTAAAGATATTTTTTAAAATTAATATTATAGGCACATACCATAACATTTAAGACCAAACTTTAGCTGAAATTGAACAAATTAATGAAACTGAAGATTTTTAGATGCAGTGAAAAAGTATTAAACCAGGAAAAAAAATTAAAAGTGAGTTTCACACTCATGCCCCTAAAAATGTTTACATCGTTCAATTAATGAATTTGAAGCAATGATTACAGGATTAATTGATTTCATTCTCATTTTTTCTTACAGATTTTCCAACTTGATTAAATTGTGTTAAAATCAAACTCAGATATCATTGTTGGAGACGGCTGCTGCAGACAGACGATTACGTAACGGCTTAGCGAAGTCGAGCGCTGCATCTTGATTGGACTATTTTTTATTATTCTTATTTTTTCTTTAACTGCGAACTAAGCGAGGAAATTCCCTTTTCACTCAGTTATATGTATGCACTAGTTAGAGTAATGTAACGTTTTCAGTTTGTGTGAGATATCCATATTAAATCTTTATATTAATAATTCCTGCTGTGATTATTTAATTTGTAACCTGCACGTTGTAACCCTGTGAGTTGCAACATAGTAAATTTGGCGTCCGCTACTTTATATTTTTGGATGAAATATGGATGTAAAAGTTTCGAAAGCAAAACGAAAGTTGCTGAGA